CCAACCCTCTTGCTAGCAGCACGATGACAATCGAAATCACCAAAACAACCATCCCCACCCTCTTCTCCCCTGCTTCCTCGTTTCCCCGTGCACTTCTCTGCCTCACAACAGTCCCCACTTCCAAGCACTTCAAGTGAAATCCGCAGCATATTCACGTGCAAGGTTCCGAACAAAAAGGCCCCTCCCCCTCCTCCACCACCTTCCCAATTCCAACCTGAACTTGCTAGCGAGGTCCGGGCAGTGCGCATGGCCGCATAGGCTCAGCCGGAGGGTCGGTAGGGGCAGGAAGGGGAGCAAGCGGGAAGGTTCGGGGAGGAGAGGAGTGAGGAGGAGGAAGAAGAGAGCTCTAGAGCAAGAGTGGAGGAGCATTGCTGCTGCAGCAGGGCTGCTCGCATGTGGATGAGACGCAGGCGTGGAGAGTGGGGTTCCATGTCGTGCGTGCTGGTGGTTGTAGCAGGTGTGGGTGCAGGTATGGCGTTGGGATGGTTAGTGCTGCTGGGTGCACAGACTCCACTCCAATTCCTTACTTCATTCTTCTCGCCACCCTGATTGATCCTCTCCCTGCCTCTGCTGCTACCGTTAGCACCAGTAGCACCAGTAGCAGCAGCGGGAGCAGCAGCAGCAGCACCACCACCACCACTACCATCACAATCAGCAAGAGCAGCAGTCGTTCCTGTCGTGACTGCACCTGTCACTCGCTCATGGTCAGTGCCCGTAGTGCGAGCAGCAGCAGCAGCAGCAGCAGCATGATCCACTGCCGCAGCAGCACCTTTCCCACGTCGCTTTTTACTAGCCTCTGCCTCTGGCTCTGCCACCTGCCTAGATTTGCCTTGCTTGCCTTTCTCCTTGGCCTTCCGCTTTCTGTCACCTGCACCCACACTGCCTCTCGCCCCTTGCCCCTTCCCTCTCTCCACTGACAAATGCGTCTTTCCACCTGCCCCTCTTTCTACTGCTCTCTCTGCGATCTCTGATGTCTCCGATACTGCTGCCGGCATAACAGCTTCTGCTGCTGCCTTGTCTCCGCCTCCGCCTCCCTTTCCTGCTGCTGCTAGGGACAGAGAGCAAGCAGCCTGGTTCTGCCCGGGCTGAGAGCCCCTAATCGTCCCAGCAGCACCACCGCGAGGTTTTACGGCCCGGGCAGGAGGCAGAGGAGAAAATTCACGGGCAGGGGAGGGAAGAGACGAGTGCGGCCGCACGGGCTGTGTGTAGGGAGGCTGAGGGGAGGAGGGCGTGGATGGATGGAGGGCTCTGGAGGGCTGTGCGGGAGGGGTGGCGTGGGTGGCAGCAGCAGCAGGGGAGGAGGCGGGGAGAGGGAGTGAGGGAGTGCGAGGAGGAGGCATGGTGTTGGAAGGAGGGGATGGAGATGGGTGCGTTGCCTTGCTGGTTGATGCACGGGTGGGTGTGAGGGACTGGCTGAGAGGGCGTGTGGCTGTGGTGCCCTTGGGTTCCTGGAAGGTGTTGTGAGGGGGGATGGTGGACAGAGTGGGGGGAGTAGGGAGGAAAGAAGAGAGGAGACGGAGAGTGAGGATGGACAGAGAGTAAGAGTGCTTGGGCGAAGAAGGAAACGATTGGTTGAAGGATGAAAGGGAGGGGACAGGAGAGGAGAGGAGAGGACAGGAGAAGTGAGGAGAGAAGCGGAGAGGAGATGTTGGAGGTGGTGGAAGAGGCAAGCATGCCGAAACAAACAACATCCTTGTCATGTATCCGTTGCTTGCCTCACCTGCGTGCCGAAGCAGACTCGCTTAGACGCCCGTTCACATGTCTTCAACTGCCTCCCTGCACCCATGGCCGACCGCCTTACAGCAGCACCACAACCGCCATCTCCATCGCCATCACCACGGCCAGCACCAAAAGCAGCAACACCAGCAGCAACAGCAGCAGCAGCAGCAGCAGCAGCAGCAGCAGCAGCAGCAGCAGCAGCAGCAGCAGCAGCAGCAGCAGCAGCAGCAGCAGCAGCAGCAGTGGGGGTCCTATCAGCTCCTTGTGTCACTGCTCGTGCCCCATCGTCAGCCCCCTGCCTCCCCTCCCCTTCGCCCCCTTCCCCTCCTGCGCCACTCCCCTCGCGCCCCTCCAGTCCATCCCCTCCTCCTCCTGTCCGGATACACTCTCGTCCCCCTCTCCCCGCTCCTCTTCGCTCACTTGATAGACCCTGCCCTTCCACTCTCACATCCCCCTCCCCACCTTTCTCCCCTGCTCCACTCTTTGCCCCACCTTTCCTCCCTCCACCATCCTTTTCCGCGTGCGGATTACCCTGGCGGCCCTTCCACCGCTCTCCACTCCCCAGTAATCTAGTTCTCGCCGCCCCTGCTGTCTCCGCAACCCCCACCTGCCAGCCGCTGTGGTGTCTGTCGTTGCCACGTGTGGGAGGAGGGACGTTGGAGTGCGAAGGAGCATTAGAGTGCTGAAGAGCGTTGGAGTGATGCATGCCCTCATGAAGCTGGCAAGGGGAAAAGCAGCAGAGGAAGGAAGGTAGGTTAGTGCTGCTGCTGCTGCTGCTGCTGCTGCTGCTGCATGACTCATCAAGCAGCAGCAAAGATGGGCCCAGCACACCCCCCCAGCAAACAGCGCAGCCAAGGAGCCCTAAGGAGTGTGGGCTGAGCTGAGCGGCAACACAGACAAGACAACGCCTTGCACACAGGACCTCATGACTGAGCAACACACACACACACACACACACACACACACACACACACACACACACACACACACACAGAGCACGAATTCGCAAGGAACATCACCACCATGAGAGTTTGCATTGCAACAGAAAAGCAAAGAGAGGGGAGAGAAGGGGGGGGGGGTTGCATGAGAGTTTGCATTGCAACAGAAGAGCGAGTATCCTAAGGACGTTCGAACTGGGAGGGGAGAAGGGGGAGGGAGAGGAGTGGCGGACCTTTGAGGAGAGGGCACGGTAGGATGAGGTGAGGAGGAGCAGGTAGGAGCGACGACTCCAGTTGGTGGCATGCACGCGTGACAGCTGATGGTAGGCACGTGGTGGGTATAGCGTATAGGCATACACACGGAGGTGTATGGATACGGAAATGGAAGGAAACGGAAGGAAGGAGAAGCAGATGTGCTTGGATACACACACAAGCATCTAGGATCCAAAAAGGGAAAAAGTGTGTGAGACAAACTGTTTATCAAAGAGGACACAGCACCACACAGTACCACCCAGTACCACGGCAAGGGGAAGCTCTTGCGCCGGCCAAACCCCAAGGAGATCGCGCCAGCTGTCCCACGGTGATTGGTGCTCTCCCACCCAGGCGCTGCTCGATGCTCCCACAGGCCACACATGTGCACGCGGTGCTGCCACAGCTGCTGCTGCAGCAGCATGTGAAGGAGCAGCAGCGGCAGTGCAAGCAGGGGCAGCAGAGGCAGTGCAATCACCACCATTTTTCACATTGCTGGCATCAATGATACTCTTCGATCCAGCAGCGCCAGCAGGAGCAGCAGCAGCAGCAACAACAGCAGCAGAAGCAGTAGCGGAGGCGGCAGATGGGCTTGTGGGGTGCCAGAAGGGGTGCAGCAGAGCAATGCCGCAGCGACCACAGCTCATGCCCGCTGTTACCATGCCTTGCTCTGCTGCTCCTTCTCCCTCTCCTCCCTCTCCTCCCTCTCCTCCCTCGCATCTCTCACCCCCATGTCTGCACCCATCACTACGCTGCTGCGTGCTGCCCCCAACTGTGTGCGGAGAACTGACGATCCGCCTATTGCGCGTGCGGGCAGAATCATGCAATAGGCGGATCGCGGCAGGAGGACGGCGTGACGGCTGTGCCGCGGAAAGCCATGACCTCTGGTGGGTGAGTGAGCTCAGCTGAGGGTATGGAGAGAGAGGAGAATCGTCACGAAAACGCTTCGGCCAAAACAGTTGGGGCTGTGGATGGGGGGGGAAGTCGGTCGAAGAGCCGTCCTCGTTATTGACAGAATTGATTGCTGAGGCTGGGTTCACAAGCGTCAACGAGGAAAGACTAATTACCTTAACATTACTTCACTTGAAAAAGGTATGGTGCTGCTGCTGTATTCAGTCTTGAGGCACTTACACATTCAACTCCACATTACACATTCCAGAACATGCCATCTTAGTGTTTTGAGTGCATACGACTCATTATCACAACTAATATCCACCTAAATTTTCACCGTGTGATGCCAATGCCAGCTTTTCTGTGGGCTAACACCCACTCGGTATACCCCCATCCCACGATATAGCTCATGTGCATACGGTAGCTTTCAAATTGACAGCCACTTGAGCCTGCTAAGTTGACATACTACATTGATACCACCACCATCATCTATAGTCCACTACACTTCCGAAAACAGTTCCCAGTTTCATGCCATTTTTATGCGGTACACAATAAATCCAAGGTGTAGGCAACGAAACATGGAACTTTGCAACAGCAGCAGGGAATGCACCTACGGCTTCCATGCCATCACAAGAGGCCAGTTACATGATCCATCTCTGCATCCAAACTCGAGCTGACTTTTGAGTCGACTCAAAGCCAGCTCAGCTACTTCCACGCCATCACAAGTGGCTAGCTACACGATCGATCTCTGCATCTAAACTCGGAGCAGACAAGCTCTGCGACTCCATTTCCTGATCCACCTGATGGGCGGCGGAGTTGATGCGTTTGCCGCCCACTTCCACCAGCACAGCATCCAGCTCGGCTGCAATCTCTGTCATGGCCGGCCGCATGGCGGTCGGCATGGCGGTGCATCGCAGTGCCAGCTGCACCACCCTCAACACCAACTCATCCCGCGCCTCCATGCGCGCGTCCTTTAGCCATGCCACTGCCTCGCTGCCGCCATATTGAGCCAGCTGCTGCTGGACCTGGTGCCACACAAAACAGGATTGCAGATGAAACAACGGAAAGGTATGCGGATAAAGTAGTGAAAAAAGACATGCGCATGAATGAGAGAATGAATAAAGAGCGGAAACGAGGGTTACGACGGTACTCTCTCCATGCCCACAGACTTACCCAAGAAAGAATGTGCAGTTGTTGGCCCGCCTCTTCATCGGAGGGAACAACGAGAGAATTGGTGGCGACATGGCGGCCTGTCATCACCTCAAGCATGACAATGCCAAAGCTGCACACCACGACACCCCGTGGACAGGTGAGGAGAGGAGAGGAGAGGAGAGGAGAGGAGAGGAGAGGAGAGGAGAGGAGAGGAACGCATGAGAGGTGCCCAACGACAGAAAGAAACCAGCTGGAGAAATACAGGGTTTGATGCTCACCTGTAGACATCAGTGGCAGTGGTGGCCTTATTGGACCAAGCATAAGAGAGATCTACATAGCCTGGTGTTCCCACCATTTTCGTACTCTGCGCTGTGGTGCCCCCTCCCTTCCTCACACACCCGAAATCCGAGATCTTGACCTGCGATCATGCATACAAGAATTCTTAGCTTGCCCTCACACATTAGGGACAACACGCACACACACAGGCCCATGTGTGCGTGCCAGTTTAAGAGAGCATGCGGCACAGGATTGGCTGCAACAATCGTGGTGGCGACACAGCCCTGCATGCCTGCAGCACATGCCTGCATGGTCTGATCGAGCAGGATGTTGGCGGGCTTGATGTCGCGATGAACGATGCCGAAGCTGTGGAGATACTCAAAGCCGCGTGCCGCCCCCACCAGCACGTTCACACGCTGCTCAAAGCTCAGGGGCTTCACTACCCCTGCAGGGGATGGGAACGGAGGGGTGGAGAGAGGAGATACTGAGAAGTAGAAAATGAGACCTGTATGAAGAGGCACACCTGCAAGGCCAGATAGGTGGGGGACATTTTGGCAGTGCACGTGTTAGATTGCACACCTTTTCCGATCCATTGCGAGAGGTCCCCGTTGGGCATGAGCTCGTAGATGAGGATTTGCTCCGGCCTTCTCCTGCCAGAGATCCCAAGGGAAAAGCCCAGCAGGCGCACCAGGTTGGGGTGGTGCTTCGTTGCCATCTCACACACCTGCCAGGCATGACAGTGGGCCCCGTACAGCACAGTTCAGTGATCGATCTGACACTGCTGCCTACCAGAATGGCGTGGGTGTGTGATGTGATGTGACACACACCTGGCAGAAACAACGATGAAGCACAGCGCGATACGCGAGAGGGTGTGCAGAAAGAACGGTCATGTGGCACATCCGACAGCCAATGGAACACGCTCGGAGGGGCCATGGCCATGGCCATGTCACGCATCTGGACACTACAGTTACTACAGTTGATGAAAAGAAGACCTCCGCAGCCCACCTGTCCATTACTGACGGATGGGCCACGGCCAAGGCCATGTCATGCATGTGGATACTACAGTTGCGCCAAGTGCATATCACATGACAGGTCACACCACAACACGACAGGACATAACATGGCATGGTATGACATGACATGACATAACATGATAACACATGACATCACATGACATGACATGACATGACATGACATCACAATACATCACGTCACATCGCGACTTGACCTGACATGACACAATACCACGTCATATTGCATCAGATCACATGACACCACGTCAGTACGCATCGCCTCGCATCGCATCGCATCGCATCACATCACATCACATCACATCACATTGTTAGAACTTCAGCTTAGAATCGATAGATGAGTAATGAGCTTGAAGCTCCTTAAGTACATCCGAAATGAGCAAGGTATGGATGGGAAGGGAATCGGGGGCAATCCCTAGGGGATTGAGGGTAATCCCAGGGCAATCTCCAATTGGTAGGTTGGAGATTGCTTGGTGATCACATTTGGGTCTGGTTGGGATGTGGGTGTACATCCAACCAAACACAAAGTGCAAACTACACTAAGATAGGATATAAGTACAAAAGTTGAGATTGGGGGGTAACACACATCACATCACATCACATTGTGTCAATTCACGTCACGACACGACACTACACGACAAGACACGACACGACACGACACGACACGACACTGCACGACATGACACGACACGACACAACACGACACGACACGACATGACACGACGTGACGTGACATGACGTAACATAGCATGATATCACATCACATGACATCGCATCCCATCGCATAACATCGCATCACATCACATCACATCGCATCGCATCGCATCGCACCACATCGCATCGCATCACACCACATTACACGAACGCGGACGCATTAGCACCACAACACGCGAGCACCTCGGTGTCAAAGTCGGTGGTGACAATCTTGGCTCGCTTCACAGCCCACAGCGTGACACCATCGGTGGGAGAGACGCCGCGGTACACATCACCAAAGGCCCCCGCGCCCAGCAGGTTGGCCTCAGACCACCCGTTGGTTGCTTTCGCCACCGCCGCCAGTGAATACTCCTGACACACCTGCGATACCGCCTTGCTGCTCATCAGCGCTGCAAGAAGGATCAGAAGTGGAGGAATTGGGAGGCAGCGGATGCGATTAAGAGACTGAAGCCCAACTGATAACCGTGAAAAGTGTGCGCATCCATGTGATGAAGCGAGTGCTGCTGGAATGGCTGAGAGGCCCCATTGGCGCTCAACCAGGTTGCAGAAAGCGCCCTTGAGAGTTTTCAATCGGGCAAAGAGAGCAGGCGAGAAAGTGGTGGCACCGGGAGTGGCAAGGGAGGAGGTGACTGGAAGTGGAGCGGCAATGACAGTGGCGATAAAGAGATCCAGAGAGACGGCAGCCACATGACTCGTCGGTGCTGTGCATGTGCGAGGCAAGCAAGGGCAGGGCAAGGCAGTGTGATGCGGGACGGGACGCACGTTTGTGAAAAAAGTAGAGGTAGAGCAGTACAGCGAGCGCCGCAGTGAGAACAGCACCAGCCACGATTGCCGCTATTGCCCACCAAGGAAGTGGCTTGTGCTTGTCACCTGCCAACAGAGCAGAGGACTCGAACAGGTTCAACCGACAAGTGATTGACAAAATTGAATTCAAGGGGCGGTAGGGCAGCTGGGTGCACAGCATGGCAGCTGGGTGCACAGCAGGGCATCTTGGTTTTAAATTGGAAACAGAATTACCCCTCCTCCACCTCCCTTCCTCTCAAGAACGAAACTCACATGTGTTACAGAAGCCAGGGCAGGTGCGGCAGAAGCCAGAGGACGTATCCTGAGGCACACCGCAGCTGCTATAGCTGTCAGGGCACGTGAGGTTGTTGTTATCTTTGGCCCTGAGTATGCCAAGGCAAACAGGGGGCGGAAGACGAAGAGCGGTTGCAGAGAAAGGGGGCATTGTTGTTGAGAATGATAACCTAAGAGATGAGCCTCACCCCTGAAATCGTCTACCTGCACTTGTCTGCTCTGCTGGTCCTTCAATGCAGGGGGCATTGCGCCTGTGGAGACTAGAGGGGAGGGGTGGGTGGGTACAGGCTCATAGAAGATCGTGGCTGAGAAAATGCCAGCCTCTTTCCCTCCCTTCCACTTTCGTTCCGTCATAAGCATGTTCACCAACCGTTCTGTTCTACTGGAAGAGAAAGTGGTTTCGTTTGGCTTGGCCCATCGGACTGTTCTGTGCACTGCCGTCCTTGGCTGTCCGGTGTCCACTGAACTAGTTAATCGGCTACTACCAGCCTTCAGAGGATGTACCTGTTAGCTAGCTAGCTGCCACTCGACTAGTGGATTAAGTACACTTCTTTTCTTATTACTTACAGAGTTGACAGCTTGTCCAGCTTTCCTAGGGCTGGGGGGATGGTTCCTTCCATATAGTTGGAAGCAACGCTTCTGCTCTCATGCAAGGGCAAGACAGAGGGCCGCAACAAACGAGGGAACGTAGGTGCGAAAGATGAAGGGATCTGCATACAATGGACCTATGCTGCCATGCATGCTCTTGTAGTATAGGCTAACAATGCATTCACATTAGTGGCATGAAATATGGCGGCGCATGTGAGGGGGCATGGAACAGGCATTGGAGATGCGATGGAAGAACGGCAGCGAAATCAGAAGGCAATAGTATTGCACAGTACGTGCGAATATGTGCAGTGTGAGTGAAATCAGAATGCATGTGTGGAGGGAAGAGAAATGATGGACGGAGGTACAAGTGCAGAGGGCTCACTCACAGGCTGACCAGGTTAGTCATGGTGGTGAGAGACTCTGGCAAACTGCCAGTCAGTCTGTTGTTGGAAAGATTCCTGATGGCACACGATGCCATGAGAGGGGGGGGCATGGAGCATTAGAAGGGAGCACGGAGCACTAGAGAGGGGCATGGTGCATTGGAGGGGGGCATGGAGCATCCACCAAAGCACACACACGAATAGCAGGTAGAAATCGCAGCAGCACGTACAAGAATCGCAAGGTGGGAAAGGTGATGCTGGGCAGCACTTGGTCTCCGTCAAGCTTGTTGGATGCGAGATCCCTGTTGATTCATGCCCACCCGACCACACATGTGCAACAAGCATGCACACACACACGCACGCACGCACATGCGCGCACAAGTGCACGCGCGCGCACACACACACACAGAAGAAACGGGCATGGTGATGCAGGCACAAGAGGCACAAGAGGCAGCACATGGCAGAGGCTGGTGAATAAAACCTGACTGGCAGACAAGTGAGTGAGCATGATGATGGGGAGAGACCTTCAGCGAGGCATGGCAAGGGGGAGGTGAATGAATTGGGAACATGGCAAGTTGCACATTCGATTCGAATTGAATAGAACGCATGCCCGTGTGCATCGGCAAAGGAAACAGGTCCGTGCAAGCATGATGGGTGCGCCTCGGGGAAAGGACGATGCAGCGGAGTGGGACTGGACTGACAGAGATGTGAGGCCGGTGAGAGTCTTCAGGTAGATCATGTTGTAGGCTTGGATCTGGTTGGAGCTCAGATCCCTGCCATGCCATGTGGTGCAGCAGGCAGGCGTATGTGGGGTTTCTTTCTTCTGTGCTCTCTATGGCACCACAGGCGAAGGATGGCAGTGATTGCTGATTGGGGATGCACCTTGTGAACGTGGACAATGGAATGCTGTGGACTGACATGACATGGCGATGATAATGATGATAATGATGGTGATTATCGCAGCAGCAGAAAGACGCTTCACGTCACGAGTGATGAATACTGATCATGCTTGTGTGTTGCACGCATTTGGGAGCTGTCTCTCAGTAGGACGCATCACCACTGGGAATTAATAAATGATTGAGAGCATGCTTAAAGAGGTTTCATGAAGTTCGAACGCATGCCGCTCCCTCATTCACCTTATGCGATGCATAAGGTTGGCCGATGGTGTGGTGTGGTGCAGGGAAAAGCACACGATGATACACCAAACAACGCGCACACACAGAGTTGAAAGAAAGGCGTACAGTTTCACGAGCCTGGGGAATTTGCTGCTGGTGATGTTTCCCGTGTACCATATGTTGGTTGATGGCAACTCTCTGCACAGGCGGCGTGTGCCGGATTAGTCAGGGATGAGTGGTGAGGAGTGGTGATGAGTGGTGATGAGTAGTACTCAAGTGCAAGCAGGCAGTGAGTGGTGCTGGAGTGCAAAGAGCCACACCACTGACGGGAAGCCGCCAAGGGGAGGAGTGACAAGGAGCAGCGGAAGGGAGACAAGAAGGAGAGCATGCAAAACGATACAGGAGCAGGCAGGGGGTTACGGGGACTAATGCCGGAAGGATCTAGGGCTCAGATTAAGGCTTATGGATAATGGGTGGGGGTGGGGAATGGGTGTGAGGAACGGGTATGGAGCTTACAATTCCGAAAGGTTTGTCAGCTTAGTAACCCTGTCAAGCTGATAATCTCCAAATCCGCAGTTGCCAAGCCTCCTGTGGTTCATGCAACACAACATGCACACAAAGAGCGATTTATATAAAAGAATGTCACATTAATCATTGTCAAGGCTTCAACCACTTTCCACATGCAATACCATGCAATGCCAAGCATACCTGTGCCATGAAATGCGACGTTGTGTCATGTCATGGCAACTGTGTTTTCTTCTTGAACGCGTGTGGATGCGGGTGTCTCACTCACTCACTCACTCACACTGCGCAATGAGACACGAGTATGTGCCTACAACCTCATGAGCCACATGAGATTAACCTGGCCACCCCATTGGGGGGGACCTTGGAGACGCCTCAAAGGTTCTGGGTCCCACTCGCTCACAATGCTAACCATGCTCAATGAGACACCTGCACATGCTTACAGCCTAGTGAGCTGGGTAAGGTCGGCCACCCCATCGGGGATGGTGTCACCATCGTACGGCCAGCAGTCCACTCCCCTGCAAAAAAAAAAAAGGAAAAAAAAAAAAAGCAAACACAAGGCAAATCATATGCATCAGGCAAAGCAGTCGTCGATCCGCCTTCATTCGGGCTGCACGCAAATTTCGATTCAAAAGCTTTCATTATATGCCTGCCACCACACCAACAAATGGACCCTTCCTAGTTGTAGGTTTGGTCCGTTTGGACTCACAACGACTTGAGCCAGGTGAGCTTATAGAGAGACCCCTGCGGGATATGGCGCACTTGTGCAACCTCCCTGTATGTGTCACATGCGGGAACAGGGAAGTAAGGAAGGTGAGGGGAGATGAGGTGAGGAAGTGGCAGGTTTACTCAAGCGCAGAACCGAGATGGGCTGAGGAATACTGAGCAGGAACCACTCATAGTCATCCTGATGAGGGATGGTGATGGGGAACGGTAAACAGCGAATCCTGAAGGGAGAATAATAAGTGGTGATTGGTGTTGTGAATGGTGAACGATGATTGGTGTGGTGAATGGTGAATGATGGTTGGTAATTGGTGAATGGTGATGATTGGTGATTGGTGATGGCGAAGAGTGCACGAGCATGCACTTCACACACACACACACACACACACACACACACACACACACACACACGAACACACGAACACACACACACACAAACACACACACACAACACACACACACAACACACACACACAACACACACACACAACACACACACACAACACACACACACACACAACACACACACACACACACACACACACACACACACACACACACACACACACACACACACCACATTTCATCTCAGCATTTTGCGCTGGACTGCATAAGAGCGGCGTGAGAGCGCAGTGCACAAGTGACAGCCCGTGTGCACTGCATGGGCGTACAGCTGGGTGAGGCGCGACAACTGGGTGATGGAGGCGGGTTGGAAGGACGCTGCAGAAGGCGTGTTGACGCGCCTGCGACCAGGTAGGGTGGGCGTTGGAGAGGGGAAGTGGAAGTTTGTATGGGGATGATTGTGCAGGTTCGCGGGTGGGAAGGGTGTCTGTTTGTGTTTTGCGGGATGGGCCAGACTCATGAATGGGCGTCTGGGCGTCACTGCAAAGAGCAATCGGAGCCCTGAACAAAATGAGTGAGGTTTATTTAAGCCAGGAAGGATAGAAACAGGTACTTGCGGTTACCGAGCGGGAATTGCAGGGCTTTGCTAACATGTGGTGGAGAGGAAACATAAGGAGGCTAAAACAATTATCGCAGCTAGCAATGTGCATGGCACGGTGCAGTGCAGGACAGAATGGCACAGAACCGCACAGCACAGCACAGCACAGCACAGCATAGCAGGGCGCGGACGCACATGGAGGTGATCATGCCGTTTGAGTCGCATGTGAGGCCTTGTGCTTGTGTGCAGTCGCTCCCCGCCTGCCAGCCCGTGATGTTTGTGGCCCACGACTTCTGCAACTCCTGTAGCACCTCGCCTGCCGCACAGCGACAGCAACAGCAGCAACAACAGCAACAACAACAGCAACAGCAATCGTGCAAACGAAGGGGGAAAGCAGTGAAGGAGGTTTGGCAGTGAGTAGACTGCTGGTGCAGGGCGGTGTAGGTAGGTGGTGGTGGGTGGGTGGGAGTGGCGAAGGGAGGAAAGCAGAAGGACAGGGCTTTGTGCACAAAAAGAAAAGCAAGGACGTGGAAGAATGGGTCTTGGGTAATCATTCAATCAGCAATGATGCCCATCGTCACACCTCCTCACGCACAGAGCGTTTCACGGCTGCCTGGCCAGCCAGGTGGCTCGCTGACTAACTGGCCGGGTGTCGGGCTGGCTCCGGCCACAAGCGAGGCCATGACCCACCGTGCAAGCCGCATCCCCACCGTGCAAGCCGGCTGAGGTGGTCAAAAGTCTGAAGATTGGAGCGTGTGATTGCGCCCAGCGGGGTATGAGGAGAGCGATCAACGGACCTTGCGACCAACGCACCTTGAGAGTCAGCAATGCGTTGTGCGAGCGACGTGCACGGCAGGCAGCAGCATGTGAGCGCCGCAACGAGCGCCAAGAGACCGCAACGGGAGCCGCGAAGCATCCCCATAGCCGACAGGTTAGGCGTCCGGCTGACTGCGACAGGAGCAACGAACAGCAGCACCGCTTGGAGGCCTTTTCAAGAACGTGGCTCCTACCCTTGTTGTTCGGCACCCGACCGCCGGTGATTTAGACCACCAGCCTGCTTATCAGATTTCTGAATCTACCACGACGTGGCAGTCGGACGGCCAAAAAAAGGACGTGGAGCATCTGTTGCGTGTTGCACCGAGCTGAACTCGTCCCGTTGTTATCTCTGCCACGCGGCCTCTCACTTGTGAATTCTCATGAAGGCGCAAAGGGAGAGACGGATGCGGGTTGATCGAGTGCGTTTGTGGGGTTGGGTAGCGTGATAACATCAACAAGAGCCTGCAGGCTCGGAATGGTGTGGCGAGTTGACTTCGGTTCGGAATGGTGCTTCGACACGGACGGCACGCGCTATTTCGCCTTGCCTACTAGCGTGCTCGTTCACGGAGACAGGGAGGGGACGGAGAAGGGAGCAACGCAGAGCAGAGCAGAGCAGGAGAAGAAGGTCGTAGCGAGAATGCGGACTATTATGTGACGACGGGAACAAGGCAACGTGTCGTGTCTATAACGGAAGGGCATTCTGATCTCGGCCACTCCACCTGCCGCCATTATATCTCTTCGCGTCGCCTGACCCGCGGAAGATTCCTCCCTAGACTGGAACCGCGCAACCGTGTTTGATAAGCCAGGTCTGAATTGGCGTGTCTAGCGAGCTCGTGTCGGACCCAGCATCCCACCATTATTTCAGCCTTGTGGGACAAGTGTGACATGTTCACCAGCAATTATTGGTCCTGAAATTCTCGATAGAAACACTTGTGCGACGCTCGCATTAGGGCGTGGAGCATTTGGGTTCCTTTTCCGAACGAACGTACCGTTCGGAAACTAACCACTCTGAAACGTATTCAATACGACTAGAACAAAGAGTTTGACAAATGGACCATTCGTTTCAAAAATTTCCCATATGTTCCACGCCCTCATGTCCCATGGGAAACAAAAAAAGGCTCAGAAAATGTGCCAGCAATAAAAGTGATACATTAGGGTGTGGTGAATTTTGCTAGAGTGTAAGCCGTCAAAGCTTGAATTGTTTTTCCAATGAATTCCAAAACTAGGGTCATGCAATGCACCTCCTGCTTCCACACCCTCATGGAGTGGACGGAACGGCCATGCCGTTACAATAGGCTATGACGAGCAATCTCTGCATCCAAATCCACATCTGGCCTCTGCAACTCCACCTCTTCATCCACCTGACGGGCACCGGCATTTCTGTGTGCGCCGCCCAGCGCCACCAGCACGGCCTCCAGCTCGGCTGCAATCACCCCCATGGCCGGCCGCGTGGCACTCTGATTAGACGTGCATCGCAGAGCCAGCTGCACCACCGTCAACACCAAGTCATCCCGCGCCTCCATGCGCGTTTGCTTCAGCCATGCCACGACCGCCCTGCTGCCGGATTGAGCTAGCTGCTGCTGGACCTGTTGGTGGGGTTCAGCAGCAAAACAGGTTTGTGGGATTGAAACACCACGAGTTGAAGGGTGGAGGAGGCGACATGTGGATGCCTGAGAGAAGGAATGAAGCGCAGAAACACGAACACACGCCGGCATTCTCTCCATTTCCCCACGGACGGACGTACCCAGGGAAGGATGTGCAGCTGCTGGCCCGCCTCTTCATCGGAAGGAACGTCGAGACAATTGGTGGTGGCGTGGCGGCCCGTCATGAGCTCAAGAATGAGAATGCCAAAGCTGCACACCACGACACCCCGTGGAGAAATTCAAGGGTGAGGATAAGACACGCCCAATCACAGAAAGGAGCCAGTTGGAGAAATCGAAGGGCCATGGCTCACCTGTAGACATCAGTGGCGGTGGTGGCCTTATTGGTTGCAGCATAAGAGGGATCCACATAGCCCGGTGTTCCCACCACTCGCGTGCTCTGCAGTGTTGTTCCCTCTCCCTTCCTCACAAGCCCAAAGTCTGAGATCTTAGCCTGCTCTCATGGATAGAAGACAATGGATATGGCCAGAAATGGATGCATGGTAAATTCTATAGAAATCTGTTGTCCACCCATGTGGATGCACTCAAATGTGCAGGCCACCCGTGTGTGCATGCCCGTTCATAGTAGTGCATTTGGTATGAGTCTAGCTGCATGCCTGCACCGCTTGCCTGCATGTTCCCGTCGAGGAGGATGTTGGCAGGCTTGATGTCGCGGTGAACGATGCCGAAGCTGTGGAGATACTCAAAGCCGCGAGCCGCCCCCATCAGCACGCTCACCCGCCGCTCAAAGCTCAGCGGGGACACTGCCTCTGCATGGACCACGGGACAGGAATGGAGGTGTGGAGAGAGGAGACCGTGAGAGGTAGGCGCAAAGCAGGCAAGGAGGTCTGTATGAAGAGGCATACCTGGACGACCCACTGGGTGTGGGGGCATACCTGCAGAGCACGTGCGTGCACTGTTAAACTGCACTGCTTTCCCAATCCAATGCACACCTTTTCCAATCCAGTTCGAGAGGTCCCCGTTGGGCATGAGCTCGTAGATGAGGATTTGCTCGACCCTTGTCTTGTCGGTGATCCCAATGGCGAAGCCCAGCAGCTTCACGAGGTTGGGATGGTCTTTTGTGGCCATCGCACACACCTGCCAGGCAGAACGGTGGGGTCAGTAGGACACAGTTGAATGATATATTTCACATTGCTGCAAACCTGCCACATAAAAATATGGCCCCGTCGTAATACACCGTAAAGTGATCCATCTGGCACGACACGGCTGCCTACCACAATTGTGTGGTTATCTGTCTCGCACACCTCGCTCAAACAACGGTGAAGCACAGCGTGATACAGAAGAGGGTGCAGAGAGATTCGATCTGGCTCACTCATTAAAGCATGTAACACGCTCGGACAGGCCATGCCTGTGTCAAACTTCTAAATTTCACAGCACAGCGCCAGACACCACAACCCACCGCACAGCACACGCACGCACCTCGGTGTCAAAGTCGGTGGTGACGACCTTGGCTCGCTTCACGGCCCACTGAGTGGCACCATCGGTGGGAGAGACGCCGCGGTACACATCACCAAAGCCCCCCGTGCCCAGCAGGTTGGCTTCAGACCACCCGTTGGTCGCTTTCATCACCGCCTGCAGTGGATATTCCTGACACACCTGCGCTGCCGCCTTGCTGCTCAGCAGCGCTGCAAGAAGGAGCAGAAGTGGGGGGATTGGGAGGTAGTGGATGCGATTAAGAGAATGAAGCACCCTGCCCAGCTCAAGACAGTGAAAATTGTGCGCATCCATGTGGTGAAGCGAAGCGAGAGCTGCTGGAATGGCTGAGAGGCCCCATTGCCGCTCAACCAGGTTGCAGGAAGAGCCCTTGAGAGTTTTCAAAAGGGCAAAGAGAGCAGGCGAGAAAGTGGTGGCACCGGGAGTGGCAAGGGAGGAGGTGACTGGAAGTGGAGCAGCAATGACAGTGGCAATAAAGAGATCCAGAGAGACGGCAGCCACATGACTCGTCGGTGCTGTGCATGTGCCAGGCAAGCAAGGGCAGGGCAAGGCAGTGTGATGCGGGACGGGACGGGACGCACGTTTGTTAGAGAAGTAGAGGTAGAGCACTACAGCGAGCACCGCAATGAGAACAACACCAGCCACGATTGCCACGATAGCCCACCAAGGAAGCGGCTTGCGCTTGTCACCTGCCAACAGAGCAGAGGACTCGAACAGGTTCAACCGACAAGTGATTGACAAGATTGAATACAAGGGGCGGCAGGACACTTGGGTGCACAGCAGGGCAGCTTGGTATAAAATTGGAAACAGAATCTCCCCTCCTCCACCTCCCTTCCTCTCAAGAACGAAGCTCACATGTGTCACAGAAGTCAGGGCAGGCACGGCAGAAGCCAGAGGATGTATCCTGAGGCACACCGCAGCTGGTGTAAATGTCAGGGCACTTGAGACTCGTGCCGTTGGTGTAGCTGCATGGACAAGGGAAGAGATATATTATTCTCCTCGTGCCCATTTTCACTGCTTCAAACCAACAAATCGGCACCCAATAGAGGATGTATTCTGACGCACACCGCAGCTGCTATAGCTGTCAGGGCACGTGAGGTTGTTGTTATCTTTGGCCCTGAGTATGCCAAGGCAAACAGGGGGCAGAAGACGAAGAGCGGTTGCAGAGAAAGGGGACATTGTTGTTGAGAATGATAACCTAAGAGATGAGCCTCACTTCTGAAATCGTCTACCTGCACTTGTCTGCTCTGCTCGTCCTTCAATGCAGGGGGCATTGCGCCTGTGGAGACTAGAGGGGAGGGGTGGGTGGGTACAGGCTCATAGAAGATCGTGGCTGAGAAAATGCCAGCCTCTTTCCCTCCCTTCCACTTTCGTTCCGTCATAAGCATGTTCACCAACCGTTCTGTTCTACAGGAAGAGAAAGTGGTTTCGTTTGGCTTGGCCCATCGGACTGTTCTGTGCACTGCCGTCCTTGGCTGTCCGGTGTCCACTGAACTAGTTAGTCGGCTACTACCAGCCTTCAGAGGATGTACCTGTTAGCTAGCTAGCTGCCACTCGACTAGTGGATTAAGTACACTTCTTTTCTTATTACTTACAGAGTTGACAGCTTGTCCAGCTTTCCTAGGGCTGGGGGGATGGTTCCTTCCATATAGTTGGAAGCAACGCTTCTGCTCTCATGCAAGGGCAAGACAGAGGGCCGCAACAAACGAGGGAACGTAGGTGCGAAAGATGAAGGGATCTGCATACAATGGACCTATGCTGCCATGCATGCTCTTGTAGTATAGGCTAACAATGCATTCACATTAGTGGCATGAAATATGGCGGCGCATGTGAGGGGGCATGGAACAGGCATTGGAGATGCGATGGAAGAACGGCAGCGAAATCAGAAGGCAATAGTATTGCACAGTACGTGCGAATATGTGCAGTGTGAGTGAAATCAGAATGCATGTGTGGAGGGAAGAGAAATGATGGACGGAGGTACAAGTGCAGAGGGCTCACTCACAGGCTGACCAGGTTAGTCATGGTGGTGAGAGACTCTGGCAAACTGCCAGTCAGTCCGTTGTTGGAAAGATTCCTGATTGCACACGATGCCATGAGAGGGGGGGGCATGGAGCATTAGAAGGGAGCACGGAGCACTAGAGAGGGGCATGGTGCATTGGAGGGGGGCATGGAGCATCCACCAAAGCACACACATGCGGGGATGGGCTTGGAATAGGGGATATAGGGCAGCAGGAAATGAGAGAGCAAGGCAGATGACAGGAAGCAAGAAAGCATTTGCAGAATGATGCACCCGGTAAAGAAAACATGGGGGACAGAACCGGCGAGACATGGCATGTGCTCCTCTCATAAGGGGCGCTCATAGCAACGACTCATGCAATGGCTTGAGTACTAGCAGCACGACCTTGGCCCGCTCCACCAACCTTCCCTGTAGCACAGTCGGACGGACGGACGGACGGACATACAGGAATTTCAAGGCTGGCAGTGGGAGATCCTTCAGGAAGTGACCACCAAAGAGCTGCGTCCCTGACAGATCCCTGTGTTCGCATGCCATCCCGTCCCCCCATGCACAGCAACCAACATGCGGCCAGCAGCAAAGAGCACACGGGAGTGTTGGGAATGGAGGCGCATAAGGCAGTGTGTGAGTGAGGCTGAAGCTGTAAATGTGCATCCAGGAATGCTGAATATGGGACCAGGCATGCCGAATGTGGGACCAGGCATGCCGAATGTGGGACCAGGCGTGCCGAATGTGGGACCAGGCGTGCCGAACGTGGGACCAGGCGTGCCGAACGTGGGACCAGGCGTGCCGAACGTGGGACCAGGCGTGCCGAACGTGGGACCAGGCGTGCCAAACGTGGGACCAGGCGTGCCGAACGTGGGACCAGGCGTGCCGAACGTGGGACCAGGCGTGCCGAACGTGGGACCAGGCGTGCCGAACGTGGGACCAGGCGTGCCGAACGTGGGACCAGGCGTGCCGAACGTGGGACCAGGCGTGCCGAACGTGGGACCAGGCGTGCCGAACGTGGGACCAGGCGTGCCGAACGTGGGACCAGGCGTGCCGAACGTGGGACCAGGCGTGCCGAACGTGGGACCAGGCGTGCCGAACGTGGGACCAGGCGTGCCGAAGGTGCCACCAGGCGTGCCGAAGGTGCCACCAGGCGTGCCGAACGTGGGACCAGGCGTGCCGAACGTGGGACCAGGCGTGCCGAACGTGGGACCAGGCGTGCCGAACGTGGGACCAGGCGTGCCGAACGTGGGACCAGGCGTGCCGAACGTGGGACCAGGCGTGCCGAACGTGGGACCAGGCGTGCCGAACGTGGGACCAGGCGTGCCGAACGTGGGACCAGGCGTGCCGAAGGTGGGACCAGGCGTGCCGAAGGTGCCACCAGGCGTGCCGAAGGTGCCACCAGGCGTGCCGAAGGTGCCACCAGGCGTGCCGAATGTGCCACCAGGCATGCCGAATGTGGGACCGCCATCACCATGTGTATGCGTAATCCTCTCCTACCCGCTGAGCCATGCCCAACCACTCACAGGGTTGTAAGGCTCCTGAGCGTGGTAAACCCCGCGACGCTGTCGATCTTCAGTGGGTTTGAGCTCAGATTCCTGCCATGCCGTGCACGTGTGAGCAGCGAGCGAGCGGGAGGGCAAGGGGCAAAACACATGTGGCATTCTTCAATTATGGAAGGCAGTGTGTCAGGAAGAGCAAGCGCGGCTGTGGGTAAGCAGGAGTGCCGCCGTGAAAGCCCTTTATGGTGCCATGTAGGCATGGCCAAGTCAGCGTGCGGGTGAGAGTGGATGCGAGTGGATGGGAGCAGATGGGAGCGGATGGGAGTGATCAGGGTCCAGCAGTGGGAGAGTGCAGGCAAAGTGGCACAGGATGGTTGTAGAGGGAGAACAGTGCCGCCTACAGGAGTCTACAGACTCATGCCTCTAGCCACACAGCACAGCATGCAGCCACAGGCATGCCCCACTTGCTGCTGTCTGCATGCACGCAGTATTCCAAACGGAGAGGAAGTAGAGGAGGGGAATATGGAAGCAGAAAGCCGTACAGATTCTGCAGGTTGGGGTAGTCGATGCCATCAAGAGTTACGAGTTCTGATATCTGGTTAGAAGGCAGCTCCCTGCATGGGGGGAAGGGGATGCGGAGAGTGAGGCAGCAATGGCTCAGCCGCAGCAGCAGCAGCAGCAGCAGCAGCAGCAGCAGCAGGAGGAGGCAACGTGGCATGCTGAAGCACATGCGGAGAAGCAGCAGCAAAGGGGGAAGAGAAGAGAAGACGAGCAGAAAGCGGAGCAGCAAAGGCGGAAAAGGGAGGGCGAGGGGAAGCAGCAGCAGAGAGAAGGTGCATAGACGGGCCAGTGTGGTGTGGTGCACACTGTCGTGGGTGCATGTGGGGTCCGGAGTGCGAGGGAGGAGTGAGTGTATAGGGGGAGTGAGTGGGTGCGGGGAGTGAGTGGGAAGAGGGGTAAGTGGGGGGAGTGAGTGGGGAGAGGGGTGAGTAGGGGGAGTGAGTGGGGGGAGGGGTGAGTGGGGGAGTGAGTGGGGGAGTGAGTGGGGGAGTGAGTGGGGGGAGTGAGTGGGGGGAGTGAGTGGGGGGAGTGAGTGGGGGGAGTGAGCGGGGGAGTGAGCGGGGGGAGTGAGCGGGGGGAGTGTGCGGGGGGAGTGTGCGGGGGGAGTGTGCAGGGGGAGTGTGCGGGGGGAGTGTGCGGGGGGGGTGTGCGGGGGGAGTGTGCGGGGGGAGTGTGCGGGGGGAGTGTGCGGGGGGAGTGTGCGGGGGGAGTGTGCGGGGGGAGTGTGCGGGGGGAGTGTGCGGGGGGAGTGTGCGGGGGAGTGTGCGGGGGTCTCACAGGTTCACAAGTGCGGACAACTTGAGCAGCGGCGACAAACCGTCCGTGCTGGTTCCAAAGCCACAGTTCTCCAATCGCCTGCACCGAGCACGGCACGATGAACGATACACAGGGAGGCGTGAGTACTTGCGTGAATGCGGCATGAAGATGCAGCACCATGGATGGAGTGCAGTTAGCCAAAAAAGCAAGCAGGCAAGCAGGCAGATCAGATCAAATCAGAGGATACTCAGGCCAGCAAAGGAGCATGCACTGGTCTTGTTAATCGCCCACGTGGGCCTTGCAGGTCCAGGCATATGCTCGTGCAGGCATGGGATGGCTTGCACGCCCATGCATGGGATGGCTTGCACGCCCATGCATGGGATGGCTTGCACGCCCATGCATGAGATGGCTAGCACGCCCATGCATGAGATGGCTTGCACGCCCATGCATGAGATGGCTTGCACGCCCATGCATGAGATGGCTTGCACGCCCATGCATGAGATGGCTTGCACGCCCATGCATGAGATGGCTTGCACGCCCATGCATGAGATGGCTTGCACGCCCATGCATGAGATGGCTTGCACGCCCATGCATGAGATGGCTCACAGTCTAGTTAGCTGAACGAGGTTGGGCAGGCTGAAAGCATTCTCGTTGGGATTACAGTCCACTGACCTGCACACGCGCGCGCACACACACACACACACACACACACACACACACACACACACACACACACATACACACACGCACACACACACACACGCACACGCACACGCATCGAACCAGTAAAATGCGTAAGTGTGATGCTTGCAAGCATGTGTGTTCCAACTCCTAAGCCATCACAAAGAACGAAAGCATGCAAAGCTCAAAAAAACGCATGCCCCTGACCGCACATCAGTGCCCCACCCCACAAGCCACTCACAGGGCCTTGAGCTGCGTCATGCTGTTCAGTGATTTCGGGTCAGGTAAATCGTTCTGAAATCTCCTGCATGCATGGAGTAAAAAAAGCATTGGTGGTTGACAAGGAGATCTGAACACGCGGAGAGGCAATGTTGTTGCTTCAGGTGTTTGCTCTAAGAGTGCCGTTCCGAGTATCGTTCCAAATGTTGTTGCAAGTGTCGTTCCAATCCAAGTGCAAAACACAAGGCAAGCGTAAACGGACAGCCTCCATCCATATCCGTGGTGGTATGGTGGTGTGGGTGGCCTCTGCTGTGACCCATAGAGCAGCACTAAAACTTAAGAAACCCTAGGCACTAGGAGTCAGCAAGAGGCACCAGGAGTCAGGAAGGGGCACCAGAACAAGGTCACATGGGCTGTACCCTGACAAAGCCCCCTTGATGGGAGCACACGCCCACACACACTTACAGCTCTGTGAGGCTGGTTAGGCGCGTGATACTGGTTGGGATCGAAGCCCATAATGGAAGTTGATCGAATCGCCTGGGCAGAGCAGAAAGGGGGAGACCAGAAAGGGACAGAGCAGATAAGGGGAGGGAATGAGAAACAGGGTGGCAGGCAAGAGTATACGAAGCACAAGAGAAGGGACTTTGATGCTTCTGGGTGTACTTCAGACATGGAGGGCCACGCAGCACAAGAGAGTAACATGTGTGGCCAGAGTATTAGCACAGCACAGCACCGTATAGCAGGGCACAGCACAGCACAGCACGGCACGGAAGGGCGCACATGGAGGTGATCATGCCGTCTGAGTCGCATGTGAGGCCTTGCGCTTGTGTGCAGTCGCTCCCCGCCTGCCAGCCTGGGATGGCATTGTTCCACGACGTTTGCAACTCCTGCAGCACCTCGCCTGCCGCGCAGCCAGCAACAGCAACAGCAAGGCAACGGTGAAAACGAAGGGGGAAAACAGCAAAGGAGGTTTGGCTGTGCGCAGACTGGGAGTGCAGGGCGGTGTAGGTAGGTGGTGGCGGTGGGGAAGGGAGAAGGGTCGCAGGACAGGGCATGTCCGCAAGAAGCAAGCAGGACGTGGAAGAATGAGTCTTGTTGATCTTCAATCCGCATTGATTGGAACAATGCCATCCCAAGGAGTCTTGTTGATCTTCAATCCGCATTGATGCTCATCGTAACAGCTTCGCACGCATAGAGCTTCTCACAAACAGCTGGCTGACTGACCAACCGATTGACTGACTGACTGCCTGACTGGCCCGGTGGCGGGCTGGCTCCGGAAACGAGCGTGGTCATGATCTCACCGTGCAAGGCGGTTGAAGTGATTGAATTAAGTCCCATAGGGATGTCTAAATGTGCCCAGCGGGGTTCAGAAGAGTGATCAACGCACCTTGCGATTCAGCGATGGGCTGTGCGAGCGACGTGCACGGCAGGCAGCAGAAGCATGCGAGCGCCGCAACTAGCGCCAAGATATCGTGACGGGAGCCGCGATGCACCGCCATAGCCGGCAGGTTGAGGCGTCCGCCTGACTGCGATAGGAGGGACGACTTGGAGCAGCAGGCTTGGCGGTCTTTGTCTAGAAAGCCGCTCCAACTCTTGTTCGGCAACCGACGGATCAAGACCACCGGCCTGCTTGTCGGATTTCTAACTCTACCGCCACGTGGCAGTCGGACGGCCTAAAAAGGACGTTGGGAATCTGCCGTGCGTTGCACCGAGCTAATTCCGTACTGTTATTATCAGGAAGGCGAGAAGGGTGAGCTGGATGCGAGTTGAACTCCTGGTAGCTTATGCGGGGCTCGGCTCGTAGCGTGCGTGAGAACACGAACAAGAATCTAGCTCGATCTGGTGCGACGATTTGACTTGGGCTTGATATGGTGCTTCCACACGGGCGAGAACGGCACGCGGTATTCCGCCTTGCCTGGCGTGCTCGCTCACGGAGACAGGGAAGTGACGGAGCAGGGAACACCAGGGAGCAGAGCAGGAGAAGAGCGTTGCGAGAACGCAGATCACATGAGGAACAAGGCACCGTGTCGTGTCTATAATGGAATGGCATTCTGACCTCGGCCATTCCACCTGCCGACTTTTGTCTCTCCGCGTCGCCTGCTGCGCGCGGAAGCTTCCCCCCAGGAACAATGCCCAATCCGTGAATGCCTAAAACAACACGCTGCGGGTGGGGCCATGAATTCGCGTCTGGCTCAAGTATCCGCTGCGCAATTATTTCTGCGTCGTGGCTAGCGTGTCGCACGCTGATGCTGTGGTCCTATCCCACAATCTTCTGTACGTTCTCTCTGGTTCAATTCGTTTCGCCGCGATGCAAAACGGTACCGTTCTTCACCGTGTGGAACCGTCCTGAGCCACAAATGATAAACTGGAAGTGCACAGCCTGACGAGCAATTATTGATCCTCAAGCTCCAACCAGGCGGGTGGAGTCGCTCGGGGATTGGTTGTTTGGGAAGGCAGGGTCCACGTCAGAGTTTCCGGAGGCGACCCTGACAGCTATCGCTCTGCACCAACTGTGGGTGGAGAGGTGCGAAGGTGCTTTCCGTGGCTGTAAATTTCGCGCGAGGCGGGTACAGATGTTCTGGCTTAGAGGCCCTTCCTAAAAGAGTCCCATTTCCTCAACGAGTAGAATTTTCACATAAGTCCTAGGTGTATCCCCTCCTCTACAGTCCCATTTTTGGCGGGAAATCTTGCATCTTGACTGAATCATTGCGCGAATCAGTTCTGCAGCCAATCAGAGGACGCAAATCGAACCTGTCAGAACAACAAGAGAAAATAAAACGAGAGGAATTTTTGATTCAATATTTAGTACTAGTAGTTGTGTTTGTCTGGTTATCTTGACCTCTCTTGCGTCTACATCCTGTCGCGCGGCTCCCCGCGAGCTCCGACGATGCCATCTCATTAATCTCGCTTACAGTGTAAAACAGAAAATGGGGTCTTCATTCCGGCCTTAAACCTAATTTATTTTGTATTTTTTTGCCCGTTTGTCCAGCGACACTGATCAACGTGGCGAACCGTGCGACGAGAAGTTGAGGACAGCGTAGTCTGAATGTACGAATGTGACAGAACAACACGAATAGTAGCAAAGAAAAATCGCTCTTCATGCAATTTTCCTTTTATGGGACTATAAGTTCTCTTTTGCCCGGGGTTTGTGAGTTTTCCACAAAGGCCCGCAGCGCGCGTGTTTTTTACTGGGACTCTAATCAAGAACATCTGTACTGAGAAGGTTCGAAACGGCTCTGCGCATGCATGTGAATGTGTACGTGCAAGCGTCTGCGAGGAAGTTACTGTACAGCAGAAGGGGAAGAAGCAGCAAGCCAGATGGCATGAAATGACAACTCAGGAGCAGCGGCTTCTGGGGAGAGAATTTCTCCAGACCCGGAAACGGTGATTTGCCGTTGCACACGTGGCCTCGAATTGCTACCGTGGTCGGACAATTCGATGATAATTGCTCGAGTGGTCTTGCCAGAGGTTTCCTCTGGCTTTTTTTTTTAATCCGGCACATTACCCAAAACCGGTTTTTAGCCCTGCTTTTCTTACGTCGTTCGTGTCTCTTCCCGCAAAAACGTGGCGTGTGTTTTTCCGCCCGATTTTTTCGGCTGGGTGACGTGCGCGAGGGCGGCCACGTCACCGTTCGAATACACGACAATAATCAACACGATCATCTTGGGCGAACAGTCGCGCTCATTTTCGGTCCAATTCTTGACCAATCCGCGCATAGAGATATGGATCACCGATCATATACTAAGTTGCACGACTATCTACACGTGCGACCAATTACAGAGCGCGTCTAATTGGTCGACTTTATGCACGAAGTACCTTTTTACCTTGCGCGTCCAATCAGGCGAGGTCATGTAAGATCGCGCTCATATAAAACCGCGCGTTTACCTATATGAGCGCGCATATGTGGTGCTCGAATGTGTGTGCGATCTGTTTTATTAATATAAAACTATATAAATAAAATCGAGAGACGTTCACTACCGGCGTTTTGCCATTGTATCTATATAACACTGTGCGTTCCGTTCATTTAGCAGTCATAGGGTTTATTGTATCTCTAGGCATGTCGACCTCTACGCATGCCTACAATGATTTACGTAGATTTGAAGTGTATTGAGCACGCAATGTCATGTCATGTGTCAACGTATGGTCAACATGTTGACGTATGTCATGTTGTGTCAAATTATAATCTTGTGTAGGCTATAGTGGGGTAGCTCATATGGGGTACACATTTTGTCAGAACATTATAGCTTATATATTTGTGTAGGCTATAGTGGGGTATCCCATAGGGGGTACAATCCAATCAGGGTTTCCTATATGTACTCACTTCATTCATAGTTCATTAATTCTCGTTCTAGTTTCTTTCACATGGTATCAGAGCGGTTACGCTCTCGGCCCGTCAACGCCCGTGAGCCGCCCGTCCCAGCCCCACGCCGCCCGTGCGCCGCCCGTCCCGGCCCCGCGCCGTCGTCCCGGCCCCCACTCCGCCCGTGCGCCGCCCGTGCGCCGCCCGTTCCGGCAGCGCGCCGCCGTCCCGGCCCCACGCCGCACGTGCACCGCCCGTCCCGGCCCCGCGCCGTCGTCCCGGCCCCCACTCCGCCCGTGCGCCGCGCGTCCCGGCCCCACGCCGCCCGTGCGCCACCCGTTCCGGCACTGCGCCGCCGTCCCGGCCCCACGCCGCCCGTGCACCGCCCGTCCCGGCCCCGCGCAGCTGCCCCGGCCCGTCGCCTGCTGCATTGCCGAGCCGCCCCCCCCCACCGAGCCGCCGAGCAGCCCAGCAGCCGAGCCGTAGCCGAGCCGCTGAGCAGCCCAGCAGCCGAGCCGCAGAGCAGCCGAGCCGCCCGAGCCGCCCGAGCCACCCGAGCCGCCGAGCCGCCCGAGTCGCCCGAGCAGCCGAGCCGCCCGGGTCGCCCGAGCCGCCGAGCCGCAGTTGCTGCAGTGCCGCCGTGCCGCCGAGTCGCCGAGTCGCCGAGTCGTCGAGCCTGCTCTTCCCACCACTGGTGAGCCCCTGCCTTACTAGCGCGGTGCCTGCAGCTTGCTTGGCTGCCTTCCTTACTGCTGCTACTCCTGCTCCTGCCTCTACTGGCGGTGGCCAGATGCAGCTCCAGCGACGCCCACGCACGTCTCTCACGCCCCAGCAGCTTCGTGAGTGGTACGCTCAGAGTAGAGGGTCTCTCAGTTCTGTTCGCTGCTCTTACGTGATTCGCACTGGTGCTCGGACTGGTCAGCCTTGTGGGACGCCTAGTCATACACCGTCCCGCTGCTTCAACCGTCTGAACGACGCCTGTCGTACCGAGTTTGGCGACGAGGCTGAGCTCCCCGACTGGGTGGAGTTGCTTAGGCAGAGGGTAGATATATTTGCTCTTGACTATGATGCTATTCTCACTGCCATGTATGCATTGCCTACTAGTGCTGACCGTGCCGGTCACCTGTGCGTACCGCCTGACCCGGGTATAGAGCCTGCTGCTCTAGCTGCTGGTGCGGTTGCTGCTCTGGGTGCTAGTGTGTCTCCTGCTCCAGGTACAGGTGCGGCTGCTGCTCTAGGTGCTAGTGAGTCGGCTTCCTCAGGTGCGGGTGAGTCTGCTCTCTCAGGTACCGCGTCGGCTCCGGCCTCTCACACCTTCACCCTTGACTCGAGGGCTTCTCGCTCCTTCTTTCGAGACCGCACCACACTCACGCCGCTTGGTCGGCCAGTTGCAGTCTCTCTGGCAGACCCCTCTGGGGGCCCTGTCCTTGCTCACTTCTCCACTGTCCTCCCGTGTCCGGCGGCCCCCTCTGGCACCCTGTCTGGTCTTTACCTCCCCTCGTTCTCTACGAACTTGGGGAGTGGTGCTGACCTGCAGGATGCGGGGGTTCACCAGTTCACTCCTGCGAGTCAGCGGGTGACCCACTGCACAGACGCTCGGACAGGCCGACACCTGGCCACGTTTACTCGTCGGCCGGGGTCGAGCCTGTACACACTGACCACTGCGTCTCCTCCAGTTACTGAGTCTGGTAGGGTAGCTGCGTCGGATCAGGTGTTTGCTGCTGCGTTCAGGTCTGGTCCTGAGTCTGCCCCCTG